TTTTATATGTTTGCTCTGTTCTTTATTGCGGTCTGCTGGCGAAAAGGCGATCGACTCGCTGCTTTTCCCAGGCTCGGGATAATTTGCTTTTCTATTTACTCTCTCAAGCACCGATAAATAAATCCGCGGTCGAAATATAAATTCTGCTCTGCAGGTGAGTTTTTGCGCAGTCCGCGGCCGTGCGGCGGCATGCAAATAAATACACCAAAGCAGACGCGATTGCGACTCGTGAGAGATTTGCTTTTCCACTTCAGATGCTCTCATTCAATTCCGAACGATAAGTACTTTTTTTGTTTGGGTTTTGTGCGCACATACGGAAAAACAATATTGAAAAAAAGCGTTGTTGAGCCGAAAACTCTCTACTGGAGTCTTTCCGCCGCTTTGTGGATAAACGGAAGCGCTTTTTGGTTTTGGGTCTGTATGAAGTGTTAAAAACTTATTTCATTCTTTAGTGCATTACAAATCACACTTAAATTGTTGTAATAAATTTAATTATGGGCTCAAATATCTTAATTTTATTATGATAGTAAAGTAGATATTATAAAATAAACCTAAACACTATAAAATTGGAGCTTGCCCTCCTCAAGCTCAAAAAGGGCCGACAAGACTTTTTGTCTCGGCATGACCCGAAATGTTATAAAAAAAACTTAAAAAACAAATTACAGGTTTTACAGTTTTACTAACTAAACGGATTACTATGTCGATGATTTTTCTTGTTATCTACAAAGATGACATAATATATTGTGGATTAAAGCTTAGAAAAAAACAAATAAGGAAAAAAATTTGTTAAAAAAATTTTCATTATAATCCTTATTTATTTTCAAAAGTAAGAATAAGACAAATAGGTTTATTTTATTAAATAAATAAGTTTAGCTCATTTAACTAAAAAATAAAATAGTAATAATTATAACAAAAATAATGAACATCTATATCTACGAAACATACTTTTAGACAATTTTAGATTCAAAGTTGTTTTGTGTGCTATTATTCAAACATAAAATGGAAGCAAAAGAAAGGTAAATAATAATACCTTTTATTATTGAGAATTGAGATTTAACTTGCAAATATTTATTTTGTTATTCCCCCATCAAATTCACGATCATGCATGGGCACTAAATCTGTGCTTTATTCTCTCGCCGTCCACGTGATCCATTCACGAGTATGCCATGTAGCCGAGCGAGCGAGCGAACCGAACACAATGCGAGTACATGCAACGGCGTGTAGGGTAGGCAGGCAGACCCGCCGCGCGCGCACCGCACACACAAGTACAATTGAGCACCAACAGTCAACACGTTCGGCTGACGTGCGCGTGCTTTACGGCCGCAAAATATTTCGCCGCCGCGATAAATCATCGGAAAAGAGACTGCTACACCGCTTTTCCTCTTAACGGCTATTTTCGCTCGCGAGCAAAAATGCGGGGTGATATTTATCAGGGCACGAGAGCGCGCGCGGAAGAAATGAAAAAGAAGCGGAGATATTTTATCTTGAAATATATCTTATTGCTGCTGCAGAGAAACTTAATTATTTGTTTTGCGGGAACAGAGTGAACTTTCTGTTAATGATGCTTACCAGATAATTACATAGATTGAACAGTAATTTATGCGAACACAGATTTGAAAATTCAATTAAAGGGGCCTAATTATATTTAATTGTAAAATATTTTTAAATTTATGCAATACATAAACATAAGAGCAAAAGCATGTGGTTATTTTCAATATTTTCCAAATCTTTTATTTCCAGCAGAAAATCGAATAACCATAAGATTCGTATTCAATTTAATACAGTTCAATATCTGTAATCATCGCATATACATGAAAACAATATGACTCGTCTACAGTATTCTTTAGATATTGTGTAGCAATGTATATTATCAATAAGTATGATTTATATTAAAAAAAATAGTTTTAATAATTTCGCTATTAAAGCTTCTACCGTTTGGATGATATAAACTATATTTGCTGTTAAAAAAAATTAGTTGAAGTTATAAAATTATTATTAAAGAATTAAAAAAAAAATGAATGAAAATTTTTAAAAATAATATATATAAAAAAAATTGTAAAATGCTATTCATATTTTTATAAATATATAAAATTGTAAACATCTGCTTAAGAGATTATTTTCTTATTTTCAACAGTGGCGCTAGATCCTTTTATCAAATAATTTTAGGGCATGCACAAAAAGGTCCCAAAGCGGTGTTTAAGGTAAAAAGCTGTCACTTTTGGTGGCGCCTACAAACGCAAAAGAGACAAAGTGGCATTAGTATCATGAAGTCTGCGGAAAAAATCACGATACGGATCGGTCAAAGCGCACTTGGAAAATCATTAGCTGCCTTTCGGTTTGTTTGCTGGTGTGGGCGGCGGTGCCTTTGAGGGCCGCAAACATGCATAATGACAACACCAGACGCTGCGACCTACGCGAGTCAATAAGCGATGAATATTTTAAACAGCGGGTCATTAGTGTTGATAATGCCGGCACTAACGAGCTCCATCTCCAACTGGGGCAGAAGCAAAAACGAGCGAGTTCGAGCGGAATTCACTGGACCGGCAAAGAACGAACCGCCCTCGGTGACAACAACACACAAAACTCGGCCTTCTTGCCGTCGTCACTCCATTATGCTTAATCCACCGCCGCGACGAGTTATTGTCAGTGTTTCGCCAATTTATTGCCCTCTCTTCACGCATCTTGATTCTGCTTATGACTTTTTGCTCCGAATTTCCTCTTCTGCTCTTTGCTCCTTGGCTTTTCCGGCTCTGCGGTCTTATTTGTATGAGGCGCATAACTTTTGATACCGTCAACTTTTTGTATCTCCCTGGCAGGGGGGAAAGCACAGAGAGAAATATCCAGTTTTTTGTTTTCTAATTATTGGAGTATTTGCGAATGGCCTCAAATGAAATCAATTTCAAAATGTAAAAAAGTACTGAAATTAAAATTTTACAAATCATACGCTTTTCCTTTCACAAACAAAATATCTGAATTCATTTTGAGCCAGTTGTTTACATAATTAATCCCATCAACGATTTTTTACACCCAAACTGGCACCGGCACAAAGTGGGAATTTTTTTTTAATTCAACATCTCCAAAGCAAACACTCATTACACGCTTTTGACATTTCGCTAAATAAACAAATTGCGCTCTGATTCATTTCACAGCTGAGCACATTTACTTTGAAATAGATACTGCGGATGTTTTTGGTTCCGACTGATTTTGCCGGCTCGTTAAATCAGAGCACAGCGTGTAGTGGAGAGTTTGGTGAATTTTATTCCGCAGCGCAGGTTGGCGGGGCTGCCTAGTTAGGCAACCACAACAAGCGTGCGTGCCCGACAAAAAGCCTAACTTTCCCGGCTGCTTGCCGACAAAACGAATATGATTCCATTTGTCAAAGACCGCCGCCGCCACCGCGCGCCACTTTTCTGAATAGATTATCGCTAAAAGGGTTCACCCGGTGGCTGCCTTCTATCGTGTCTTTTATCGCCGCGGAAAGAGCGAAACCAATTTGTTATAAACGCATGTGGCTCTCTCCCGTTTATTCGCGTGTCAAGCGTTCATCAAAGCTTGGAAAATTGAAAAGCCAACATTATTAGAGAGCTCCAATCATTGCGCAGACATTTAAATTGATTAATTAACAGGCAACAGAGAAAAAATACAGGAATTTGATTAATTCGGTTAAGAATTTTGATTTAAACGGAGACAATGATTGAATTTATTAAAATTAAAAGTATAAATTTGTTTTGATAGATTTCTTTAAGCGTAAATGCAAATGCAAATCATAATTTCTATTTCCTGTTTCATTTTATTTTTGGACAGCCAACGATGGGTGGATTGCTATTTATTATTTTAATAAAATAAATAAAAATGAAATCCTTTCAAGAACGACCTCTAATAAAAAAATTCATCCTTTTTTGATACTTACACTGAAAACCCTATATAAAAGGCTTTATTGCCGCCCCCATAGCAATAAACCATAATATTGTATGTATTTAGCAACAATTTGTAAACACCGCATGAAGGCACTAAAGATTCCAACATGATTATAGCAAGAAGAATAATAATTTTTTTTCTGACAGGTTCAAATTTTTTTTTTTATCAAATATCATAAAATTTTACTCACAATTTTGGTATTTCCTTAGAAAACTGGCAATTAAGCGCAATAATGTAATATTAACAATAAGATTTTGAACCGTGTCTAATTTTCCAATAACAATTTATTGAGGAGAGATCCGCTCTCAGATTTGAAGATGAACTACTCAAGGGGGCATATTAAATCAAAATTTATTGCGTGGATATCTTGAATCGGTTTATTTGGGAAGCCAAGATCAATGTTTCAAAGCTTAATGCCGCACCCGTGTATCTCTCGGTTGAGGCATTTCCACCTCCTCCAGGTCATAATTAAGATTTACAGAAACCTCAGCGACGAGAGGCAATAACTCAGAGCCGAGACGCGGTGGTTCCGTTTTGGCTCGACTCTCGGTTAGTTGGCACGCAGGAATAAATTTGGCAGCGGACAGGTAAAACGCCCAGAGAGCCAGCCAGCTCGGACCGTATATATCGTTGATAAAGTCGAGCACACTCACAGACTCTCTCGGCGAAAAGAGAGGAGTTGGAGCCGGGAAAGAGAAAGGCCGGTGTAACAAAGTTGGATACGCGGCTCGCATGCTAGCACTAGTTGGCTCTCGGAAACAATCGTATTGAATAAACTTTTTCCATCACAACTCGTGCAAGGTGTGACCCGCGTACAGATAGACACGCACACGGCCTGGGACCAACTTGGGCCAATTCAATAAACTGCTGCCGGCGCTCACTTTGACTGACGCCAATGACGCCTGCCGCAGTTCATTTTAATCACACTACACTCTCCGCCCAAAGTGAGCCAGTCTATCTGAGCAAACGAAACAAACTGCCGCAGAGGAAACTTTCTGGCAAAATGACGATTGGAGCTAGGCAGCTTTGATGTTGGTTTTTGGGAGTGTTTAAGTAAGTGAGTCAATCTGAATCAAACTCACCTGAAATTCCATCGTAGGTCCACCACTCTTCCCAGCTTGCGTAGACAGCTGGAACATATTTAAATGCATCGGTCAATATTTTGTAAGCGATCGATTAGGAAAATAAAACTTGTAATGATTAAATTTAATAGATGCAAAAATTAATCTAATTTCTAATTTACATTTTTGTTTATTGTTTTTTTTTATATACTTTAATTGACGATATTAAGAAAGATTGCCATATATAATCAAGTGCTACTTCTTTCAATGCCACATAATTATTGTAATGTAATGTGATTTATGACAAGTAAAATGAGTTTTGTGACACCTTCAAGTGACTTCTGTCCAGTATTTTAGTTTGTAGATCCGAGTTTCATGATTCTTTTACTAGCTACATACAATTTTACTCAATTATAAAATATTAAAATTTCATCTGAAACAAACTGAAAACTACGAAAATAAATTGAAATATGTTCCGAACGAAAAAAAAAACGTAAAATTTAATTTCATATTTTCTCAAAGTCCAGTCGACGCATTTTCTTACGACAATTTGGCTATGTATCTATCATTTGAAAAAAAATAATGTATTAATGCAATAAATAAAGCTTCAAGTAAGAGAAAATGGTTCAATTTAGCATCTTTTTATCTAGCAATTCCCTGCTGTTCTGAATGCAAATGTGGTTTTTACAGTCGCAAATTGAAACGTAACAAGACATATTTTCGATACGCGTCGTTCCCATCCCTTTGTGCAAAATTGTAGCTGCTAGGGATGCAGCAGTGAATGGGAAATCCACGCCATAATCAATACAAATTCTGTGGAAAAAGAGACACATTTTTCATCTTCCCGCGGCGATTTATCCGCTGTACTGTGCGCGCACGGATGAAGGGAAATTTTCTCTCAGCAGCGGGTCAGTCTCAGCGGCGCTCGTGGCTGCCGCTGTACATATTTCATGCAAGTAATGTGTATTTCAACCGGCTTGTCTATTTTTTAAAGATAAATTTTTATGCATGTAAGAAAAGGAGCTGCTTTTGTGTGCAGCGGATACAGTACAGCTTCATCATGCGGAGTGAACGCTACTTTTTATGCCGTCATTTGGCATAAATAGTAGGTCAGTCGGATCGGCAGCGCCTCGCTGGCGCCTCGGGATGCGACTCTCGGGCGCCCAGCCTCCGATCTAACCACTCATAAAAACTCGCATCTGCCCTTGCGACTATCAGATTAGCGTTGCCGTCGTCCAAAAACTATCTACCCTTTGCGGCATGCCAGAGTACTTTTGACACACACGAGACAAGAGACAGAGAGATAAAATGGAAAAGTAGTACTTCCAAACTTGCGGTAAAAACCAAATAAAAACCGAACACTTAATCCATTGTAATGTAGAGGAAAAAACAGAATTTTTATCACGAGCTAAATTGAGTAAGCATTAGCAAATTAAAATAATTAAAACTTAATTATTAATGAAATTGGAGTTAAGCGGAAATTTTTTTTCCATAAAATGGCAGACCATTTGTTCCCAGTTCTGATAATAAAATTGTAAAGGAAAAAATTTGGTTCATCCACTCGCTATTCTGTATTTCTCTGTTCAATTTGTACATTTCAGTTCGTGAATATCCATCAAGCAGCTCTTTTTTTTAGAGCGTGCATATTGAAAATCCATTTAATTAAAACTAAAAGGTAGAAATTCAGACGCGGTCAAAAGTCAGGGCCATAAAAAGTGGGGCCATTAGCGAATTGGCTCTAGGGTAGATGGCCTAGCAATTAGCCGTGGGCAAACACTGAGGGATTTTAATTACACTTTTAATGTGGGCGAGCAGCACACACACAGCTCTCGAGGAATAAATAATGCTCGCGTGCGCCGTGATGAACTGCGAGTTCGCACGAGCGAGCCGAAAGGCGAATAGAAAACACGAACGGACGCGTTAACAGAAACATCAAACCGCACAGGCCCGTCGCTCGCTCGCAAATCACCAGCTCCTTAAGATCACCGTTTCAAAGCCCATTGTGAGCGCCTAATCGATTGGGACCCACCCACGCTAATACTTATTTTCACGCAACGCCAACGTTTGAAATCCCTCATTGCAAAACTTTTGCTACACCAAACTGAATTGAAAGTGTTACATCACTCCTGACCGACAGCTCCGATTTTTTACACTTGGGTGGCAGGAGTGATATAAATAAAATATATTTCATAGAATTAATTATTACAAGTTATTATGTTTTTTAAAATGCAGCTTATAAATATAAGTTGTTTTAATACGTAAATATTTTGTTGTTTTTCAAAAAATTATTAATAGTATTTTGCATTATTATTTTATTTATTCACATATATAAATAATTTTGTATAAGACGCCTTATTATTTTTTTATATGTTCATTTCTTGCAAATTTTGATTTAAAAATAAAACGATAAAAAGTTTAGCTTAAAGAATCAAAATTTATTTATTAATTAATGCACATAAATTTTAAAGTTGATTTATCATCACTTTTAATGTAAATAAAATCTTTTGTGGAAAGCATAGAGGCCACTTTATTGATTATAATTGAGACAGTGCTATAAAAATTTACACAATTTTAAATATTCATAATTTTTATCATTTAATCAATAAGCATTCAGCTACGCTCTGATGAATTTGATTAACTTCAGTAATCAGATACAACTTTGCACCCGCACAAGTGCGTTTTTCGCGTGCAAATTTGATTTAGATTTCGCGATGCGTGCATGGTGTGCTTTGCGAAAAGTGTAATGACAGAGGTGTGTGTTTGCGTTCACTTGTAATTCACGCGGCGCGAGACAAAGGCAAACATGCAAACAAACAAACAAACACACAAACATGCAAACAAACGCACTATTTGCGTACGCTAACTTATCTTGCGAGCAAAATCTTGGCTGTCGCCGCCGAATAACTTTCGCATTCTCTCGACTTGCCGACGAGAGATGCGGGACCGAGCGGGAATTAGACTGCTTCCTCACGGTCTTACAAGGTAGAGAGGAAACTGCGAGTGAAAGGGAACTCGTTTAAATTCACAATGATTCCGGAAACTGCAAAGGAGGAACTTCATTTCAAGACTCTCCACCCGCGTGCGGTTTTCAGTTTCACGCTGAATTTCCACGAATAATGTGATGATTTTGAAATAAGATATGGAAACTTTTAGCACAAAACATGATATTTAATTATTTCTGTGGAATTAAAGAAAAGATATAATAGAATTTAGGTGAACAAAATTCTCAAGCTTGTTATTAGCTTGAATTATTGCATTGCGTTTGTCTTTTACGCATCAATAAAGAAAAATCAAAATTTTTCGCACAGACCGTTTGAGGTAAAAATAGTAGATCAAATATGATTTAAAAAAAATTTTCCTAAATCAGGAATCATTTCATTTTGATTTTTTATTTCATTTAGATCAATTTTATTAAGATGTATAGAAAATTTGCATTTCTTCGTTGAAAATTTATTATTTTTAGGAACAAAAAGCTCCAGTCAAGAAAAACTTAATTGCAACTTAATTTTGTTGAGTTTAAACAAAAAAATAAATTACTTCAGCTAAAGACAAAAAAAAATTATAATATAACAATAATCGGTTAAAAATTCTCCTGATAAAAAAATATTTATGAATTCCTCATTGGGCATACTGCATACTATTAAATGGCAATTTATGTGATCCACCTATTTTCCTGTTCCCTTCTTTAAGATATTTTAATTTTTGCTTTTTTAGTATCGTTATAACTTATAACATCGCCTTTCTCCTAGTACATTGTTAAATATTTATTAATCATGAATCATGATGAAAAACTAAAACTAAAATAAAAATTATAATTAATATTATAAAAGCATTTCTCTTATGTCGGTTATTTCTCTGTAATAATTGGACAAAATTCACCAAAATTTGATAACGAGCACGCTGTTTTCCCTAACTAAATCGATCTTTTGTCTGCAAATAATGGCCTATCAAGCCGTTTTTCCTTCGCGAGCGAAAAGAAAAACCAAAGACGGAATTTCCGAGAAATGCCTTTGCCGACATCCTCGTCGGCTTTTCCTTTGGCCTCGCGCATAATGAGCGGCGTGTGTTGGTATTTGCAAATAATAACACACACAGAGGCTGACGTGCAAAGTGCCTGCACGACCTCAAAACGAAACACACCTCGGCGGCAAAAATGCAAAGCGCCAGGAAAACGTGCAGAAAGAAAAGAAAGAAGAAGAAGAAGTGCATCGTTCATTCATCGTCGAGTCGGCACAGGCATTATCCTGGTAATAGCGTGCTTGGAAGCATTTACCTGCGCGAGCACCACGCCCCGACCGTTTCGCCATCGTCAAAAGTTAGTTTTTGCATTCACTAGTCGGATGATAATTTAGAATTCTCGCCGCCGTCGGCCGCGAGAACGAGCGACCCCGCCCCGCCGGATTTTTATTATGCAAAGTGTCCGCGCTTTTTCAGCACGCGGAAAATCAATCTCGGCGAAAGAGAGAGAAAAAGAGAGTGAGAGCCAAATTTATTATTTCCTTCCACGTGAATAAAATTTGAGTGCGCGCCGGTCCTCTCTTCCACGAGAGTCCTCGGCGTGTGTCCCGTTTTACATAAAAGAGAGATATTTCCCGTGGATATAACGGCGGATTTTTCGTAAATCTTCCTCTCTTTCTCCTCGGCTATTCATAACTAGCTCATTATTTTTTAAGTGGAATGAGAAAGAAGCGGAGAGTTTGCCTTTAACTATCGCTCTCATCCCCTTGTTATTGGTTCCGAATGAAAGAATTTTTCTTTTTGCATAAGCCGTCGCTTGCCGCTGCTGCAAAATTGTTTTATTTACTACCTTGGCTTACCATTGATGGGAATGATTATACACTAAAAATTTAATAATAACTTGAAAACAATGTATTATACAGTATTATAATTAAAAATAAAAAATAATGCTGATTTGAACAGGATTTGAGAATTACACCAAGTTGATTTTAGATTATTATTTTTTTTAATAAATAATATTTTTTTTATTGTTGTCGTTTATTTGTCTAAATTGATTATTTGTAATCTTTAACTTTTTAAATCAATAGACTAAAAAAATAAAACTCAATTTTAATAGTTCAGTATCACTTCTTTATAGTAAATTTAAATATATGTACTGTTTACTATATAAAATATATTATAAAATATCACTATCTGTGATGAAGGGCGAAATGAATATTAATTATGATATAGGATTGTCGACTTTACATTATATTTTAGATAACGAACAAGAAAAATTTATTCTACGATATATAGTGCATTTAAAATAGTGCTATAAATATATACGTAAAAAGAAAATGATGTTAAATATTATTAACGCAAAAAATTCAAAATTATTGAAAATTTTCTTTGATCGCATTGAATTGATTCTATTGTAATATTAATTATAACTGCGTAAAACAAAATCTAATTGCAAAGAAGGTTGATTGAGTGCAAAATATTTTCCTGAGCAAGCGCCATTCAAATAACTAATTTAACTCAAGAAACATTACTAAAAAAGGAGTGTAATAATTTGAACATTATTGTGCGCTTGATGAAGCCAGTAATTTTTTCTCAATGGGGCTTGATTTTTGTATAAAAATTGAAGAATTTAGCTTTCTCCAAGTGGGCGCAAATTCTCATAAGCCTTAAAAGGTTTATAAAGAAAGAATTGATATAAATAATTTTTCCATTTCTCCTAAAATTGATCTGCTTTTTAATGAAATCAACATATTGAAAGTGAAAGTTTGTGTATTTTTTTTTTTAGTTGCAAATTATTTTTTGTCTATTTTGTTAAATGCAACATAAAATCTGAGCCAGCCATAAATTACAGCAAATTTCATCATATGCAGACTATGAGGGAGCTATAGGTGTGGTATTAGGGGTATATGTGTGGCATAAACAGTTACATGGTCATCACCGTCAGCGTGGCGAATGCATGCTCTAGGCCCGATAACCGCTGCGGTAATCACTTTGATACAAACGGCCTAGCCGATAAGAAACTTCTCCGCTTGCAAATTATTGGTTCTCTCCTGCGCTCGCTATCGCTTTTAATAAGGCCGACTGTTTCACCCCCGCTCGCTCGCTCGCTCGTTGCCGCTAATTTATGGTCATCATCCACGCGTGCTATTTTTGTAATCAATTCCCGCCGCCGTCGCTGTTTGCAGCACCGCTAGCTGCGGCCCGTGTGTTAGTTAACTCAATTAATTCCGACCGCAGATATTTATGTCTGCATTTCGTAGAGAGGTGCATGCAAGCCGAACGAGCGAGAGCGGGATTAAATTTAGCGACTGCTTTATCTAAAAACGACTTTGATTTAGTGCGCGGCTGAAACTTATGCTTATGAAGCGTAGGTGCGCAACGATCCTGCAAATAATGTAGATTTAGTGCACACTGCATTTTTTTTTCAACTATTAATCACTTTGTATAAACAAATGTATAATTAATTAATGATATGATAGTTTTAGTTTAATTTACATTCAATTTGATTTTATAATGTATTATATTTTCCATTCAAAGTTTTAGTATTGGCCTAATTTTTAATACTTTATTATTTTCAAATATTTAGATTATCCAGTCTTTCATCTACTTATTGATATATATTTCGAAACAAATTCTTTTTATCACTTCAACTCTAGTAGTTTTACGGGTCTCTCTAATAAAATGTCTTAATTCCCTCAATTCATGAATTTATCAATGCCCAAAATGAATTTCAAGAATGAAGACGAGGTAAAATCAAACATACAAAATAAAAATGTATGGTATTTTAAATAAATAATATATGATACATTGATTTCAATAAATTTAAATTTTTGCCTGCCTGACTTTTGCAAAGTCTAGGGCGTTGTCAGGTCTCTGACAGCATAAGAGACAAAACCACGGACAAGCAAAGAGGAGACACGCTGGACACCGGTCGATTAAAATCCCATTTGCATGGCACGCATTCTGCGTCGGCCACGCGCGAAACTCATCAGGCGGAAATGCATCCGTGGAAATTCCAGGACCCTTTGTGCTGCTTTAGGTGGTCGTGTGCGTTTTTCGCAAAGTCCGCCGTGAGGGCTTATCCGAGCGAGGGATGTCGGGAGCGGTCTTATCTGCAGGCACGTGACACACACCCCGAGCGCGGCTCTCTCACGTAGCCCCTGCAATATTTACCGCCGGGCCGGCCCTTTTTAAGTGATTGACCATGAATATTTCATGAATCAAAGCAAATGAAATCACACACAAAGAAACGAGTCCCGATTGGGTTTGTCAAATCACCGAAATGTGCGCGTCTATTTTTGTTAGAGGGGTGACGCGCGCTGCTCCCCAATTGACGTTGATGGCACCCTCAGACCCAGCATTTTATTGCCTGACGGCCACATTAGTTGCTGGGTTATGTGGCGCGTGTAGCTTTGCCAACTTTGAAAACTCTTTTCACTCTTTATTTGAGAGGTCTTTTTCATTTATAAATGAACCATTGATACAAGATTTTACCAGGGCTCTAATTGTGTAAGAGGAATTTAATATTATATTTTAGTCTTATCAAATTAGACCCCAGCAGAAAAAGATTTAAAATAAATTATTTAATTTATAAAATATTATTTAAAAAATACTTTAAAAATCGTCATCAAAATAAAAATAAAAAATTCTAAGCGCCACCAGATAAAATTATTTGAATATCTAAAATTCCTTCATTATGATTAAGAATTATACAATATTAAATATATTTTAAAATTTAAACATTTGAACACATTAATACTTATGCAATAATAAGGAGTAAACCATTTCTTTTTTTTCAATTGTCCGATATTACCAAGAATAAATAATGAAATAATATCAAAATTTGCTTGAGTATTATATTTTTAAAATATTTTGTGGGATTCAAACTATAACCAATAATGTCATACGTAGCGTATACAGTTGTTGATATTTTTATAAAATTTGATTAACATTAAATAATTTTACACTTTTTCTTATAATTTCTAAAAAAAAAGCTATTTTTATATAATATTAATACGTAAATTTAAAGTTAAGGAGAATTTTTAGTGCCTTTTCTTTTCGGATACCCAGAAACGGCCGAAACGCACAGACTTTCACCAGTATTGGTGGGAAGAGAACTTTGAGTGATAAATACCAAAAATTTTGACAAGCACACTCAGTTTGGTTGCACGAGAATTTCACAGGAATCCGTTTAGCCTCAAGCACTGTTAAAATTATGTATCTAGTGGTAAGCGTTGCTCTCAATGATAGACAAACACACAAACTCGTAGCTGAAAGCGTGCACGTATGTAACATATGCACAGAGATAGAGTTGTACAGCTGAAAATAGTCCACGGGGGAATTGTGCGTTAGCATGAGTGCCGAGTTATTTTTGCTCTAAGGGTAATTGAATTCCCTCTCGAATTTCATGATGAAAGTGAATTCACCATGAAAATGTAATTTGGATTCGAACCAGCATTGGCATATACATGAAAATTTGACCAATTAGGAAATTAGGATGGTCTTTGACATCTGTTGTATTAGATAAAAATTATTTATATTCAATAAATATAATCCGTTAATTATAATGTGTTAAAAAAGGAAAAACCTCGCCGTGTTTTTAATAAAAACACTGTATTTATTTGAACATATAAATTTAAAATTTTTAATTTTTATATTTTTTTTTATAAAAATCTTTTTTAGAGAAAATTATTGAAAAAGTTTCGTTCTAAAATCACACTACTTGTCTGTGTTAAAAACATTTGCTTCTTATGACCTGTTAAATTCTTTATATCAAAAGATATGTTCATCAATTTGCCTCTATAGTGACTAAATTGACCCCTCAAATGAATGCTAAATTACTCAGAAATAACAATTTAAAGAATCAACTCCGCCACTTTCACATTTTTTTTTTAAACTGCTCCAGTAGGAAAGCAATTCAAAGAGTCAGCATTTTGTTTTTAATTACTAATACAAAGTTCATCAAGAGATTTAACTTTTATTTCAAAATTGTGTGTTTACAAGAATTTACGTTTTGCGCCCTTTTAATTAATCTTGATCTTATTAACGTCTTTTATAATTAAGTATTTGAAAGCAACGGTAAATTATTTTTTTATATAAATTATGAAATTCAATCTAAAAATTTGTGCGTTACCAGTAAGTTGAACACTAAGAACTAAATACTAAAACATTTTGAAATTTGTATGAGTAAATTTTGGCCGGGGAAATCAACTACTGCAACTAACCAATTCATAAAAATTTACACAAAATTTTTTAGCAGCATTCTAAATTCAATCATACACTTGTATTAAAAACAAAAAATCATTAAAAAAATCTAATTAAAATATTTTTCCCTAATAATTACGAGATGTAATTCTCTTTGAATTTTTTTATTGGATTTTATATAAAAATAAAGGAGTAATATAAAGAAGAAGAAAAAAATTCAGACAGCTTTAATTATTGAAGAAATGGCTATTTTGCTATTAAAATTAGGCGCTCCGCCACATCAAAGTGCGATGCGTGATTAAAAGCGCAGTCCGTCCCTAGCGACTCATTCACACCGGCGGCGCGCTAAGTGGGTAAGAAGAGCAGAGCGAGGCACACAGGCTGAAGAGCAGTCAGCCAGCGGTCCTCGACGCGATCTCGGCGTGCCAACCGCACTCAACGTGCTACTCACCAGAGGCCAAAATGCAGAGCAGGGCGGCAAGGAAGACGGGCCGCGGCGCCATCGGGACGAGCGGCGCCAAGAGCGGCGCCGTCGAGTCAGTAGTGGTGCCACCGCCGGCCGAGCAGAACTGACTGACTCGGGCAGAACGAGTCCTCCGGAGCGAGCGGCGAGAGGGGCGGTCCTGATTGGCCCGGCACAGGGCAAAGGGGTGGTCCCGCGCACCCCCGTGTCAATCACACGCTCGCACACCACCGCAGGCTTTTATTTTTTCATTATTGGGTTATTGTTGGACAAAAAAGAGGCCACAAATTCACTTTCCGCCTATTAATTTTCAAAACTGTTGCTCACATATTTTAGATCAATTTTTTCCTTAATCCCGCTGGTGGGCGCCTGCGTTTGCTTTTTTTTTTTGCTTCTAAGTTGGGTTGTGTGGGATTTGATAGGTTTTTTTTCCGACAAAGCCCAGTCGGTGCCGCGTGCGCTTCCTTTTGCTCGTGATTGTGTTTGCGCGCACGTTGATTAGGTTTATTGGCGTGGGATTTCGTCGCGGTAGCTTTGCTGGCTTTCCGAAGCAGTTTGTCCACGGACGAGTGCGTGTTTTACATTCGACAAATGCGGCGCCGGTGTCGTGTTATTGTTTTTGTGCGACTTCGACGCCAATTCCTGAAAGAGGGAAAGTTTTTCCACCAGCACTCAATTGTTTTCGGGCACGAAAATCGAGCAACTCTTTGTATTCGAACCGTGCTTTGTGTCCGGGAAACTTTATCAAATTGAATAAATATCTAATCTTTTTGTTTGTCCGCAAAGTTATTTAATGATTTTACATGGAATCAATCAATTTATTACAAATTTATAATAGCCATGAAAAGGGGAAATTTAAAATTTAAAAATCCTGTTATTTCTTCATTATTAAATATATTATCCTTTTGAAATTATTAGGAAATAAATCGATCATTTGCATGTTCACATCGCTCAATTTTTTTTAAGGCGTGTGCACATAGTATTTTTGAGTTCATCTTCTCAAGTTTTACTAGATTTGTTTAAAACTATAACACTGACCAGATTCTTATTATATTTTATTGTTAATTCAGTTTCAAAACATTAGTGGAAATTGAAATACTTTAAAAATATCACAATACTGGTTAAAATTTATTTTACAAATTAAAGAGAAAACGAATCTAAATTGTAGTGTTAGTTCTTTGATAAATTTTCTTATTATTTTTTAGCAAGGGAAAAATTTGCATTCATTGCCTTTCAACAACTCCCCTATCATTCTCAAGTAATAAAAAGAACCACAGCCGCAAACACCGTCAATGTCGTCATAATGCATTTCTTCAACAGTAATACCAGCCCCGCTGAATTCTCTCAGATAAGAAATCTGAAATTAAAAAAATTTCAAAAATTTACTTTCAGTGATCAAAATATATACTTTTTCCTTCAGCGACTCGTAGTCATCAAATGCCTGCCAAACACGCCCATAATAAAAATAATTCTGAGTTTCATTATTACGGACCACAGTAACATTTTTTTCCCGTAATGACGTACAAACCTTGAGACAGAATCATAATTATTAAGATATTTTTATTTTTATTATCTCACGTCAGAGTATGAGGTGTAAGGTGGCTTGATTAATGGATTGTAATTAAACACAGATCCAATTTTGTTAAACTTTGAATCCACAAGCTCAAAATAGAGAGTCTTTGCTGACAAGCCGAGCAATATTTTCTTCAGCACCATCTGGTCGTTATTTAACTTTTTCTTTATCTCATCCATTATGTCCCTCTGCAGTTTTGAATAAGTAAATAGAGGAACATTTTCAAATGAGTATTTTAACCATTCTTTTCAAGCTGAATGGAAAATTCACTAGCACGGACCAATATCCCTCCTGTTTATAAGCTTCAAAGACAAAATAATCGACGTAGCTCACAGATGGGCTATAAATGTTTCCTAAGATTCCATTTAATTACTTGCATTATAATATTTTAATAGCAAAATTAAAAATTAAATAAACCAGCTGAGAAAGGCATCGCAGAGTTTGCTATGCTCGTATAGTAAAAAATCAGTTTTCTGATTGGCCTCAGTGCGTCTGATAATTCTCTGAGAAAGTTCAGAAGTCGCTCCTTGTCCCCAGTAAAAAATCCAAAACATTGCTCCTGCAAGATATTGATATAAAATTACAAGCCATGAAGAAAATTTGAGCCTTTGCCTCTGGACAGTCAGGATAGATCCACGATAAATGCACACCATCCAAATTGTACCTCAAAATAATATCCTTTATTTGCTGCACCAATTGACGCCGAGTGCCATTTGTCCCGGTCATTTTTCGCAGCGATAGAGGGTGCATATTGACGTCTCCCCACCCACCGACTTGGATGATGTTTTTAATATTTTGTCGCCTTGCGATCTCAAGCATACTTTTCACAACTGAAACAAATCATAATAAATAATTTGCTTAAAAATGTACAATGCAAATATTTGATACGGTCAAATTTGCTGGTTACTGGGTTTAATGTGCTGGTGTTTTTGTCAAATTTTACAAGGTCTCCGTATTTGATGAAATCGCACATACGCATTTGTGGATAAAATTGCGTCATCGGTCTCTTATAATCAATAGATTCGCTAAAATTTTGCAATGCAGATTTAAAATAAGTGCCAAAAAAAATTACTTTTAGACACAAATTTTCCACCTTATATTGACACCACAAAGAATTTTCTTGTCTGGGACTGCATTGTAAAATACATCAGGCTTGCACATTTCCCCAACAACTGAAATAAATTTACATTAATAATACAGAAGTGAAATAAATGGAAAATCAAACCTCTTCCAGAAACTCTGCCAAATTCGCATGTTTTTTTCAATGATGAATTTCCTTCCTGACTGATTAGTCCAAGGCATTGAGCTATACAATATTTTATGCTATCAACAGCTATAAATGTTAAAATGAAAGAAAATTCAAATAAATTTTTATATAAAATAAAATAAAAAATAAACTCACGTTTGCAACTTTTAATTTGGCGGTGTTTTGAAGTCATGGAGCAGAACGCTTCAGAAGAGTACAAAGAGAAATTCTAAAAAATCATTTTTTTACATCACTGGAAAATAAAGCGTTTTAATTATAATTTTGTACTGAAACGTAAATTGAAATATAAATCAACAGCCGCATGTTGAGAACAAAAAGCCCAGGAACACAGAATACGTTTGTACATTACACCATATTATACTACCGTGATTGAGGTTGACTTCCGCTCACCGTTGTGACACAAAATGTATAATTGACTTCCGAAGTCATTATTTTATAATTTGTGAATTGCATTAGCTGCATGTTGGAATACGTTTTCATATTTTGAGTTTAAATTAAGTTCTTTGGGGAATTTCAAAATCTACGGAAATACAAATTATTTGAACAAAAATTATTCGCTCATCACGCAATTATAATGCTCGCCAAAATAATAGGAGGATCACTTGTACTGTATTTTTTAGTGAAATATGACATATATGACGGATCTTAAATATAAATTTTATTATTGTTTTCAAATCAATGTAAGTATTTGTTTTTTATTTATAAATTATTGATATTTTACTCTATGTTTGTACTACATATATGCAAGTCGACAAGACTTTGTCTTGGCCTGACTCTAAAAAATTGTATCCTAGCCCTTTAACTTTAAAAAAAAATTATTAATACATATATTTATAATATTTTTATTTAAATTAATTGTTGTATTTTCTGTCAGTATTTTTTATTTTAAGACATTCTAGCAAGAAACAAATTTACATTCATTCCCCTTCAATAGTTCCCCAATCATTCTCAGGTAATAGTAAGAGCCACATCCACAAACTCCATCGATGTCATCAAAATGCAATTCATCAACGCTAATTCCCGCCCCACCGAATTCATTCATAAATGTCATCTTAAAGAAGACGAAAGTTAATAAATCAATGTGCAACAACTGTGTTTCTACTACCTTTTCTTTTAATGAATTGTAGTCATCAAATGCTTGCCAGATAATCCCGTAATACAAATAGTGTTGGTTTTTATTATTTCGGACCACAGTAAGATTATTTTCCCGCAGTGCCAAGCAAACCTAAAAAAATCCGGAAAATTCGATTTTAAAATGCATTATTGCTAGTATCATCATCTCACATCAGAGTAAGGGGTGTAAAAGGGCTTGACTAATGGAATCTTCCTAAACTGAGACCCAATTTTTTTGGAGTTCGGATTGATGAGTTCTAAAGTGAAGATATTCGGTGACAAGCCAAGCAGAACTTTCTTCATCACCATCTGGTCATTATTTAGCCTTTTCTTAACATCGTCCATTATTTCCCTCTGAATTTTCAAAAAATATGCTTTGACTATGGGTTGCAAAGGACAAATATTGATGATAACCATTCTTTCCAAGGCAGAAGGAAGTTTTGCTGTCAGAGACCAATAGCCCTCCAATCTAAAAGCCTCAAAGACAAAGTAATCGACGTAGCTCACAATCGGGCTAAAAATGTTTCCTTTGGTTTTTTTTTAATTAGTTTTACTTTAATGACAAATATTGAAATTTATCTACCAACGGTAAATGGTAACAATGAGTTTTGGATGCTTGCATAATAAATAATTAGTTTACGGAGAGGTTTCAGTGAGTCAGATAATTCTCTGATGAATTTCAAAAGTCCCTCTTTGTCTCCATGATATCCAAAACATTGATTCTATTAAATAAGTGAATTTGAAATTTGACAAAACCGTAAATTTAAGTCCTTGCCTCTGGACAGTTGGGATAAACCCATGCCAAAAGCACACCATCCAAACTGTTATTTAAAATAATATCCTTGATTTGCTGAACCAACCGTTGCCTTGTCTCATTCTTTCCGGTCATTTTTCTCAGCGATAGAGCATGCATATTATCGTCGCTCCACCAACCGACTTGGACAATGTTTTTAATTTTTTGCCGCCTTGCATCTTGAAGCAAGCTTTTTATAGCTTTAAATAAAACATAAATATAATTGTCATGGTAGGGTTGGAAAATAAGAAATAAATTCACCTTCAAATTTGCTGAGTACAGGTTTTAAAGTGCTGCTATTTTTATCAAATTTAACAATGTCTCCATATTTGATGAAATCGCACATACGCATTTGTGGATAAAATTGTGTCATCGGTCTCTTCAATTCAAAAAATCCACTAATATCAATTTCACGTCAGCAAGATTCAACAATAAATTATTTTTAAATGACGCTTTAGTCGCTTTAATTTAAACCTGATATTCAAACCACAAAGAATCTTCTTCTCTGGAACTCCGTTGTAAAAGATGTCAGGCTTGCATTTTTCCCCAACCACTTTTTTAAATTTGTTCTCATAAAATTACAAAAGTCTAATAAAAGGCAAAATCAAACCTCCTCCAGAAACTCTGCTAAATTGGCATGGTCTTTTCAACGATGCATTTGCATTTCTTTCCTGACTGATTAGTCCAAGACAGTGAGCAATGCAATATTTTATACTGTCAAAAGCTAAAATTTTAAACTGTAGAAAATTGAATTCAAGATAAATCACATAAAACTCACGTTTGCAATTTTTAATTGAGCGGTGCTTTTTGTTCAGGGAGCAGAAAGAATCAGACGAGTACATAGAAAAATTCTATAAATTGTTTTCAAAATTTAACTGGTGAATAATAAAACGTTTTTATGATCTTTTTACTAATAAAATGATGAAAATCAAAACCGAGGGCTGCATTTTGAGAACACCGTGCCCAACGAGCACAGAACTATGATTTCACTATCGGAAAGGAGTTCAACATCCGCTCCAGATCCGCTATGACAAAAAACATAAATTGACTTCCTGGGTCATGTTATTTTATAACTTTTGTGTTGCAATATCCATAGCATTGAATAACTCTTCTTTGAAATCGGATTGAATTAATCATTTTAATTACATTAATGAAAATTAATTTGCAATTCATCCCCTTATGTTGCGAGGAAACAGTAAGTTTGAGTAATTTACTTTTAATAAGATTTTTATGCAAAAATAAATAAACACAATCCATAGCATAATTGTTATTTTATTTCTTCTAACAATAAACGAAATAAATTTTTTTTTTCATATATATCTTCTTCAACATTTTTTTTTACCATTTATGTAGGATGAAAATTTTAAATTAGCAATAAAATTGAAACACTTTTCTATTAATTTTTTGATAAGGACAAAAATGATCAAATTCATTTTCCTAGATTTTTATTAGCATGAAACGAATTTGCATTCATTACCCTTCAATAATTCTCCAATCATTCTTAAGTAATAGAAAGGACCACATCCACAAACACCATCAATGTCATCATGCTGCAAATCTTCAACGTTCATACCGGCCCCACCAAACTCTTTTAAAAATTCAATCTCATTGAAAAACAAAATATAAATTGATCATGAAACAAAAATAAAGTCTTATATATACTTTTTCTTTTAATGAATCATAGTCATCAAATGCCTGCCAGACACGTCCGTAATATAAATAGTGCTGTTTCTTATTATTTCGGACCACAGTAACATTATTTTCCCGCATCGACACACACACCTAGAAAAAATCCAGTATTCAATTTTTTTTTAATTTGTGTCGTCGTAATCTCACGTCTGAGTATAGGTTGTTAGGTGTCTTTATCAACTGATACTTTCTGAAAGCAGCCCCAATTTTGTTGGAATCCGGATTAACGAGTTCAAAAGTGGAGATCATTGTGGACAACCCCAGCAAAATCTTCTGCAGCACAACCTGATCGTTATTTAACTGTTTCTTTATTTCTTTCATTGTGTCTCTCTGCATTTTTTAAAGAAAATTCAGAGATTATCAGTTGCATTAGGAGCAATATTATAAAATAAGCTAACCAATTTTTTCAAGCTGGCTGGAAAATCAAGTCTCAAAGACCAACGACCCATTTGGTTAAAAGTCTCAAAAACAAAGTAGTCAACGTAGCTCGC